CCCCAGCACATGTTTATGGTGGCTAAGGTCACGGGTCCCTGCTCCGTGCATTTGTGCATGCAAGCACCAGCACCCCCGCCCCCCAGCTCTGTGGGCTTCCCCATCCTGGGGCTCAGAGCTAAAGCAGCATGAATAATTTAGCTGCTCTTCGTACTGCCCTAAACCGTCCTAATCGGTCCGTTTAAGGGGCGCCTGCATCAATGGGATGCCGAGGATCATTAAGTCCCGCCTGCCTGCGGCCGGCAGCAGACGGAGAGCGTGTGAGGATCCCTCCAGAACCAGCTGCTGCCCCAAATGCACCCCCCCTCCGATTCTCCCTCCCGCCCTCTTCCTTGGACCACACAAAAGAAGCAATGGCAGCCCGAGCAGGCACGGGGGGGGCGTTGCCATGACGCAGCGGCACGTGACCCGCACGTGCCTGACACGCTCCCCCCTTGCATTCCCGCGCTGTGACAGATCTCGCGCTGGGGGCCCCCTCTAGCTGACTGAATGGACCAGTGGAGCAGACAGAATGCAGACTGTGCCACCTGGAGGTGGGGGGGGGGCTGCTCCATGTCATGTTATTGAACATGCTTTTTGCATACAGACACACGTTATTATATGTGTGTTTTTCAGGTACATAAACAATTGCTGATAGAAGCAAACTAAAGCTTAAAACACCACTTACAAGTGATGGAAATACTGCTATTTAATATCATATTGCCGTATTTTGTATGGAGATGATGTACCCCATCAGTACCCCTGTGTTAAAAAGGAATAAACCATCTCTCTCATGTGGGGCCATAATATTAAATATGTCAGAAATGCTCCCCCTTAGATGTGGCTTGATCTGTTCTGAAAGCTATAAAGTGATAATATATAATATAAATTTTAGATGTGAGGAATAAAGTTTCTCCATTAAGCACTGGTTCACCGTGTTTAAAGGGTATGAGTTCGACCCAGCTTACATCAAACCTCAGACAGAGAGAGTAACATTAGCATATACTGTCACTCTGAGCTGGTGATCAGTGCTTAAGTGAGAAATGTTTGAAGTATTCACCGCTTTATGGTATTCTGGTTATTGTTCGGATTTTTTTGTAAGGTTTCCTGTTTTTATTTCTGTTCTGTTTGCGGGATCTTGTGTGTCTCCATTCTTCTCCTATAGCCACTTATTCAGAATGGAGTCACAGTGAACCTGGACATTCAAGTGACTTCAAGTGTGCTTTGTCATTAATGTGACATAGCCAGCATCAATACAGCAGTTTTTCTACACAACAATAAGTGTGACTGAAAATGAATCCTACATGATGAAAGAATCCTTTCAGGATTTCACACATTTGTTACGTCGATACTCACTGCTGTGTTGTGAACAGATGTTGAGAAAACAAACTCAGTCTAGCAATGAAGGCGGATTCCAGGGATTCGAGGGCTGGGGTGTCTGTTTTGGCAGTCACATGAGTAATGAAGCCAGTATATAGGAAACACACGCGAAGCTCACAGAACCGGCCTTGTTAAAAACTCGTCACGCAACTCTGCCGCTTCAGCCGGAGCCAGTGTCATCCACAAAAGTCGCCATTATGTATAGCGATGGGGACTTTGAATAATTTCCATTTGTTGTGGGCAAGTTCTCTTCCAGCCTGCCCTCTGTTTTTTTGGAAGACATGAAAAACTGGTGGGTAACATCTGGCAAGGTGGCTGGGTCGGGAGTCGGCCGTTGTGAAAGCCAGTGGGACAGACTGGGAATTACACCATGTGCGCTGAGGGGGTGGTACTGAAAGAGAGGTGGCTGGATTCGGACCCCGACCGCAAAATGCTGCCAGAGATGCCCAGGACTGCTCCCCAGTGGGATGGATTAGCTGAGGGATGCACTAGGGATAATGACCATGAGAGACGTATGACTGCTGAAGCTGTGCGTGATGTTTATGTGGCGACATCGCTGCCCTGACTGCCTGTGTGGGGGGGTGCGGCTAGAGGGCTGCGGCGGTTTGAAGTGCAGATAGTCTGCTGATACTCTTCATGTCGTTCACCTCATCTTTCTTTTCAGTACTCCCTCCCCTCTCATCCTCTTCCCCTTATCTACAGCTCCCCCTAGTGCCTGAATGCTGCTGTGCTGGGAGCACTGTCTGGAATCCCCCCCCCCCTTTTTTTTTTTTTTTTTTTTTTTTCTCTTTCTTCCCAGAAAGAAAGGAGGGGGGGGGGGGGGGGGGGGGGGGGGGGGGGGGGGGGGGGGGGG